TTTTTAAGTATGAGATCAATTTTTTCCTTTTTTCTTAAGGGTATTGCACAAATTTTTTTTTACACGATTTAAATCGTATCCTTAAGATATTGCACAAAAATTTGTCAAAATTTGTGTACGATTTAACACGTTTGTTTATCAATTTGTTTAACTTTAATGTCCTTGTATTATCGTAACTTGCTTTGCTTGAACGTGGTTCCAAAATGCATTGTCTAATAAATAATTTTGTAGTTTGCCAATTCAAACAGTGGATGCAAAATTCACCTTAAATTTATTTTTCACATTTTTCCAAACCACTTTTTTAACCATTTTAGATTATTTAAAAAATTAATTGATCGAGAGGAAAAAGTAACGGTAAGAAAGGGAGGCATGAATTCGGACGACGAANNTTAAATCCTTTCTAATCAACCGCAACATACATTTTCCCTCCCTGTTCATGATGATGTGTTTCAGGCGGTGCTAAATTATTTTGCTCGCGGTAAGTAATGTCCTCCTGGTTCAGGAGCTTCTTTATAATCTTAATTTGAGAGCGTGGTGAGGTAATGTTGTCCTTAAACTTGATATGGTTAAGGCATATGACCACATGGACCGAGGTTTCTTGGATCATATTTGAATTAATCGAATCAGCAGGTGCATCTCTGGATGTCGATTCTTGATGCTACTAATGAACGAACTTGTGGTTTTTTCTATTTCTCCCGTGGTCTTTCACAGGGTGATCCTATCACTCACTCTCTTTTTATTATTACTGCAAAATATTTCTCCCATATACTTGCCCACCAATTCAGAATTACCCTAATATGGAATATTTGATCATATTTGCAAATGGTCAGAAATAGTTTATGTAGAGATTGCTTCTGCCTTGAGCACTATGAGAGTGTTTATGGTCAACTAGTTAACAAGGACAAGAATGATCTTATTTTGCCATGTTGGGAGTCTACCAGTCAGATTAGGAGACTTGAGCATTTGATAGACTTTCATTATCAGCAATAGCCCTTCACTTATTTGGTGTCCCTTTATTTAAAGGGGCTCAATGGATCATTCTTTATGATGACCTCATTCATAAAGTCGAGCAGAATATCGGGCTGAGGCTACTGCCTCCCAGGGGGCCAAGACTGAGCATTAAGTCTATTGCCTCTCGAAGGTCAAATTACTTTACTGAGACATGTTCTCTACTCTATTCCACTCTTTATTTCAGATTATGCAGTCTCCCAAGATTGTTTTGAAGAAGTCGGAGAGTATATTTAGCCCCCTGTTTGGTATCGATTAAAATTTAGATTTTAATATAAGTCAAAGTCAACAATTTATTTCAATCACATATTTTAAGATCCTACAACTTTTCAACCATATATTTTATCAACTTTTATCAAAATTTACTGAAAATCAGACTCTTAACTAAACCAAACAATAAATCTGTGTAGTGTAGTTCGAATGTCTAGTCTACAAATTCAACTTATTAATTATATATGGCTCCCTCAGTGTCGGCGTAAAAGGTAAACTAGACAATATTCAAGTTCGAATATGCTTGTTTGTAATTAAAATTAAATTTTCACACCGCGGAGCATATGTTTAAAGCTTATTAGGAAAAATGAACTAGTGTTACATTATTCGATCATATTATGAAAGAAAACGTAATAAAATATGATTTTTGCATCGTCTAATTTTGTCCAATACTTTAAACTATACGTGATCTTCCAATGAATCTTAAATATATGTAAAATTTTAATTCGATAGATTTGATGACTTTTGTTTAATTATGACATGTTAAAATTATCATATTCTCTTTTGTAGTTTTCTAACTTCAGTATTTGGTATAGTGAACCAAACAATGTACTAGTAGACATTAACTAAAGAAAAATAATATGCTACAAATTTAATTTATCCTTTCTTTAATATAATTCATTCCAATTTAACGTATCAAATATGTCATTAAAAGATGAACGAGACGCACATATGGCATGATTTTTTTGCCTTCTGAATTTGGTTGCGTATCGTATGAAAAGTATCATAGAACCAAATCTTAAAACCTGCCTAACTTTTACAAATATTTGAACCTATATTCTTCAAATTAAATGTGTCTGAATGCAATCTTAGAGAAAAAAAATATTTCTATGAATTGAGCCGTGTTTTCTGACAAATATTTTAAGCCATCTGTGAAAAACATGAACGAAATTCAATTAACGAGTGGTACGCGTGATCCAAGACGAAATCTTTTTGTGTATATTCACTGCGAAATTCTGCAACTAAAATTGTTTGATTGCAATTTAAGACACAGACTGCAGCATGCGATGCTAACAAGTCACTTTCACGATAACGACTTGCATTATTAATTTTGCATGCTTTTGTACAGAATTTTGAATGCGTGACAAAGATTTAAATCCATAATTCTTTTTCCTTTTTCCGTATATGGCCGGTCGATCTTATCAAGTTTGCTAACACACAGGGGTGGACCTACTTGAGGCCCAATGAGGTCAGCCGTCCCCACTCAATTTTCAGATTTTCAATTTTTCGCCAAATTTTTTTCCCCGAAATTTTTGGTTTCAATCTTAAGGTTTTTTGGCTTCACCCCCACTAGACTTCCGTCCCGAGTCCGCCCCTGCTAACACAAGAATTAATAGAATCAGATGGTGTGTACACACACACATGCATCTCGTTGGTGGAGTGAAGCCTACGAAATTCGATTATCAACAGATCGTTGATTTCTATGAATACAGATTTAGATTGGAAAATTAAAAACGACATGCTGAAAACTCGCAATAATTAACGATTTGAAGGGGGCAACAATTCGTTATGAAAGGCAATGACTTATGTTACATTAATATTTACTTTTATTAGTATCACATAATAAAGAATGACAAAAGAACATATTTTACTGAAATAAAATAAAATAAGAGATGGAACAAAACTAGAAGAAAGTCTTAAACATCCAAGTTTGCATCTCTATCAGTCCTTCACGTCATTTATGATCAAGTACCAAAAATTTGACTTTTGCAACCCCTGGATAATTATGAATTTGAGTATATATTCCATCTAAAGAGTGGTAGATAATATATAAATAATTATGAATTTATCTTATCTTTTAAATCTTAAATTTTTATACTAGGTTGCCTGACAGGGTCCCACAATAAACATATGAGAAGTCCCCTCAATTAATATTACCGATAAAATATTTTTAAAAAAAAAGTGAAATAAGAATAAATGTTTCATGAGTGTCGATCAACAACGGAAACACCGTCTGTGATCGAAAACAATATCATGGACGACGTTGTTATTATGTCAGTGATTTTGTCAATAATCAATTTTTCCTTTTCATGAGTATTTTTTAAATGAATCTAGTAGTCAATAAAAAAGGTGATATTTCAAATTTATTGTTGAAAAAATTTGGTTAAGTACGGACAACTTGAGCATGCATTTTGCTGGTCCTTACATAACAAGTGGAGGATAACCATGCGATCAATCAGCAATCACAATCATCACTAAATGAGAAGGCCACAAAATCTAATCATATTGGTGAAACATAAAAATTAATATTGACTTCATTTGAATTATTCAAACAATTATTGAAGTGCAAGTAATGTATTTATCAGCTACACACTTGCATAGAGAAAGATTTAATTAGGAAAGTTTCATATGGATTAATAATAGTTTCTCAAAATCATCTGAATGAAGTATATTGTGTTTGCACAATTGATACAAACACTGAATGAATATTTTTTTTCCAACATTTTATTTAATAAGATTGTCACGAACATATGATGAAATTAAAAAAAGAAGCACAGTTCGTCCATCTATAGCTCTCTGATGAGAAAGAAACAAAAGGTAAAGATTATTGCGCTCGAATCTCGAGTTTGAGCGCCATGAATCCATTTCCTCACATTATTGCGCTTGACTTTTGCAACCCCTGGATGTCATCGTAGTAAGATGAGAATTAATAGGCCTTGATATCCGCCATATGTAAGGGTGGGAATGGGTGCAAGCCAGCTTGCTTAACCAAAGTGTAGCTTTGCTCGCTGGTTGATGGCTCGCCCAATTTTTATTTATTTTTTAAACTGGAAATGACATATTCACTCATTATGGTGATTCTGCTCGCCAGCTAGATCATGCTCTCAATATGA